AGTATAAAATTTTTATTGAAAAATCATCACATGAATTTTTTAAATCATTATGTAAATGCTAGGGCGTCTCCTGAAAGGGACAAGCTATATAACCTGAATACAATAAAAATTATGCAGGGGCCGCTACATCGGTGCACGGGTGTAGTGTTAAGAAACTAAATGGGTTGGAGAAAAGATTAGTGAGATTGATAGCTTAGATTTTAAACTTTAGTTTATGGGTATGTGTCATACTAAAAATAGTGTATGTATAATGATAGATAAGAGTTTGAAAGATAAGTTGTAAAAAGTAATAGAATTGAAGATAGAATTATAACCCTAGAGATTGTTGTTGATTTTAAGATTCTTAATGTTATAAGTGTTTATGCTCCTCAAGTTGGTTTAGATAAATGTTTAAAATAAAAATTTTAGAATGACATAGAAAAATTAATAATATTGAAAAAAGACAGTTTGACTATGATACCTATTGAAAAAAGAATGACATAGAAAAATACATGATACCTATTGAAAAAAGAATTTTTATTGAGGAGCATTTAAATAGACATGCTGGTAGAGTAGTAGAAGAGTTTAGAAATATTCATAGTGGCTATGATTTTGGAGTGATTAATGAAAAAAGTAGTCATATAGGATTTTACTTTTAACTTATGATTTTATTATTTCTAATATTTTATTTAAAAAAAAGAGATGAACACATTGTTGTGGTGTTGTTATTGCTGATGAGAAGTACATCTTATATATGTTCATCTCATGAGCAACAACAGCACTACAATATTATATATTATCATAAGCAATCTTGTTTTTGTGCTGTTGTTGCTCATGTGACATTATATATAAAAAAACTGGGTATATGAGCAGATGGATTGCTAACTTCATATGTTCTTATGATACATAATTTAAGGATGATGCAAAAATATACTGATTTAAATGAGCGAATAATACTTTTGGTACCATTGCTCATACTACAAGGAATGAGGAGCTATTTAGTATTTAGAATATATAAACTCATATTTCGTACGTCTGACTCTGGATTTTACTCTTTAGTCGTGAAGAGCTCAGTGAAGCATCAATGGCTTTGAAAGATGTCCTGGAGATTGATCTACCAAAGATGCAGAAGCAAAAGCCAAATATTGTCGATTCATCGACTACTAAGCAAGCTTGTTACAGGTGCCAGCGGCTAAGATAAGATCCCGGTGATAAGCTGCCGGCGGCTAAGGTAAGATCTTGGTGGTATGGTTGTCTGTTTGGTTCAATGAGCACAAAGGTAGTTTTTGGGCTCAAAGTCTTGCTAATTATATATGCAAACTGTGTGAAGTCAAATTATACAATAATATGGAGTCTCAGATACTTTTTAGTGTGCAGATACTTCTATATAGAGTTTGCCAAAGTTATTGAGATTTAACTAGCCTTTGTAGTTTATATAATTAAGAAATGATTAAAGCTTTCTTGTTTTCAAATTTTAACAGTTGGCATTTCTAGAAGTCTTTCAAGTTCTTGAATCCAAACTCATATAATGGTCCTGAATTTTAAAATATGTGAAGTTATATAGTAGTACCTTTTAGGAGGATCCATTGCAACATTTTGATTTCTTCATTAAGTTGATGGATGATTATGCATTTATAAATGATAATCAATTTAAATTATTTAGCAGTTATTTGGTTACTTGTTAAGGAAATGCTGAGTAATTAGAATACAATGTATTTTGAATACTGTTGAGTTATTTGGTGGACTTTAAAATAAATGCAGAGGAATTTTTTTTATCTTTTTGGTTATGTATTCTAAATACTTAAAAGAGTTGTTTGATAATAAAAACCTTGTATTCTAAATGTGAACTAGTTGTAGAATTTATGAATAATGGATGTATGAGCATGTTATATGAAAATTAACACATATTGCTCAAATCTTTAATATCACATCATAAATAACGCCATTATCACTTTTTAAAAGTGAAATATATATTTTCATGCAGAGGCTTAAAGCACTACTATATTTGTAAATCTGAAAGTTTAGGTGTGAGATATGGAAATACATAAGACACATATCATAAATAACACTATTATCACTTTTTTAAAAGTGAAATATATATTTTCATGCAGGGGTTTAAAGCACTACTATATTTGTAAGTCTGAAAGGTTTGGTGTGAGATATGGAATTACATAAGAATTGTGTGCTGCGTATGTAAATTTCTCTTAATTTTCTTCTTTATGCTTAGGTAAAGTATGAGCAAACGCGAGTTAAAAAATGAAACCAATAAAAGACAATTGGATAGAACTTACAAGATTGGCTACATCAAAGATACAGACTTTAACCACTTGTGGGCTATTTGAAATCGGATTTATGGTGGGAAAAAAGTGGATTTAAGTGAAATTTTGCCAGATGGCCATTTTGGATAAAATAAATCCTAGGGTGCGATAAATTCGGATTTCACAGATTTCGACCTTAAATCCCGGATTTAGTATATCTTATGACCAACGGATTTAACTTCGCACGCTTCAAATTTAAGACACAGCTCGGTAATAGCTGTGGATTTACAGTCCAATAACCCTAATTGACTTTTAAATCCTAATAGAGTTGCCAAATAGTTTCATAGGATTTATAGGAATTAGTAAATTCGTTGTCTGATAGTTTTTCGGATTTAACCCATTCAGGATTTAGTAAATCCGGATTTATGGGATTTACTAAATCTTAATAAATTAAATCTCATATGTTGCCTGATGGCACCTTAACATCATGGTCAATAAGAACCATCGGCCACATCAGGAAAGCATATAAATAAGACCTAAGTAAACCCATTGGTAAAAAAACTCCAATTGGCACCAAAACTCCAAAAAAGACTAAACATAAGACCTGCATAAACCCAAAGAATCGGTCAAGCTAAGCTAACAGAATTACCAGACAACAGTAATTATGGTAAGGGGCCGATAAAAAGCAAAAGTCGCATTGAGCAGGGGATTTGTTGAGAAAAATACTCCTGAATAATATGCAAGGGTTTGGTTAGAAGACAGGAGTGAGAGCAAGGATACAACTGCAGCTTCTTGGATAGATTCTGTAGTGAGCTGCTCTTTGACATCGAGGTGGTCGGGATGTCCCGAGATCAGCCATGGCGACACAGGCAAGCGGTAGAGGGTGGAGATGGAAATTTTCCTTCTTTTTTTTTTTTTTTTTTTTTTTTTAATATCTACTTTTTGCTACCTTTGTCGACCGATGGAGGAGGAAATATTACGCGTGCAGAATCAGCATGAGGATTGTTTAAGGTTGCTACTTCAAGACTTTTTGTGAAGTGGCCTTGATCTTCTGGAGAAGTTGTAGATATGGGTTGCTACTTCAAGAAGTTGATGGTCTGTAAAAATGTCATTCTCATTTCTTTTAACATTGTCGTACTTTTGTTGAGATACTTATTTTTGCCTTTTTCTTATTAAATCCTCATTAATGACAATTACTTAAGATATGGAAAATGCATTTATATGGGTAGTATACCTACGTGATGATCTTGTTGATAGGAAGTCCAAATACTTGTGAGCGAGGGACTATCATTAGCTCCCTACTCGGCTAGAATAGCTGGGAGGATGACATTGAGGAAGAGCGCTTAAAGAAGAAATATCTTTCAAATAGGATATCCTTAAGAAGTTGAAGGAGCAGTAGAGTCAAGGAGATGTAGTAGCCATCAATAACGTCAAGAGGGATGTTAGGCATCAAAGAGATGGCCTCGAGCTAAGTGGTGTAGGTCTTCATCCTCTTCACGTACAATAAGATATCAAGATTCTTGGAATTTTTTTAGAGACTTTGAGAATATCCGCCCTCAAGAATTTTAACTTCTCTTGAGTTTGTTAGGGATGGCAAATAGGTCTGAGTCGATTGCAAATGAACCATTTATATAATCATATTTTGAGGTGAAGTTAAATTAAAGTAGGTAGGTAAAAAAAGGATAATACTTATCATAGAGTATCTCCCTCACAGCATTTTGGGGGACATAACTTAACTTTCTAGTCCATAACCTTGGTATTATATTCAGGTATATAAAGATAGGAAGCTAATCCTCTTAACAAATGAGCTTTGCTTGGTCTTGACTACTCATCCAATAGCCAACTTCACAAAGCTATTATTTCACCTCTCAATCTCATACTTTGGACTAGTCATTTGTATTTAAATGAGAATTGAATACACCCATTCTTGAAAGGCTTCATTGAAAAAATATGATAAAAGAAGTCAACATTGTTTCTCCTTTGTCCTCATGCATGAGATTATGATAACAATGCTCGCAAAAAATTAATCATAACCTAAGCCAGAACGAGTCCATAAAGTCTAAGATATCAACAATTTCTTTATATGAGGGGTCACAGTCCCAATTTTAATTGTCCAGAAAAAATCTTAACTTATCGTAAAAAGTACTAAAGAATTCTTTTTTCCTTGGGAACCAAAAATTCTAAAGTCAAACAAAATGATATGGTGGCATCTAAGATTTAGTTTCATGTGATGGAATTTGGATATATTCAAAAAAATATATTGTGGTGTGACTTGGGAATATTTATTGTGGGCTTTATTCTTTTTTATTGTTTAAGTGATGTTTTTGATATGTTTTGTTTCAGTGTTATAGTTGGTCGCTAAAGTGATTTATTGTAGTGGCTATTGCAATATTATTGTGGCAAGATTTTTGCGCCTAGCCAAAAGTTTGTATCCTTTAAATAGTAACCTAAATACACCATGTTGGACCTTGAATATACTTTCACAATGGCCTAATTGCACCTTATCAATGAAGCCATCATAGAAGCAAAATGAGTAAATGAAGGTCATAGAGTAATTGCAAGAACATGGCTAGTGAAGAGTGAGAATAATGTGGTGTAAATGAAGATCATAAAGTCCTTGTAAGAAGATCGAAAGCCTCTTTATAAAAGAAAATGAGATTTTTTAAGCAACATCATTCATCATAAATGGAAAGAAAAAACACTTTAAGTCAATTTTCTTTTTTATCATTATAATCAAAGCATTTAAGATTTTGAAGTCGAGTTAAAATAAAAGAGAGGCAAATAAATAAAGTGTAACACTTTAATTTGTGTGCAAGTTAGATGTACTTGAAATAGCATGAAGCCATGATGGAAGAAGTTATTAAAATATAATCACACCAAAATGAATTCACACTCACTTATTACTCAAGAGAATCCATAAAAAAAAGGATCGAATATTGCATCAAAAGAAATTTCACCTATCTTCATAAGTTCTAAAATAAATCATCTATCTACTAAGAAATATGTCAACTCGGGCTGCATATATTTGTGAGTTGCAATAATTTCAGCTCTCAAATCTTGGACGTTTTAGTGGATAGAGGCAATGATCGTATGAAAGATCATGTCAATAGCAACTTTCACCTTTAGGTGAGAGCTTCATCTTTTTCTTTTCAATGATAGTTCTGATTATGGTGAGTCGATCCTCTCAAGCTCACAGTTGATTATGTAAAAATTCCCAAACTTGAATTATTGGTAGTTTTGAAACAAGGATCTTAGGGTGTATTGACATGTGATTCATTGTTGGTACCAAGCTAGGTACTTGGGCAACAAAGTTGTAGACCGCTATGAGAGCAGAAGTTTGACTCTTTGAGATTATGCTCATGTGAGCATGGCTTTATAAGAAGCTCATCGTCGGGATGCTCACTAGCCTCGATGGTGAAGATGAACTCAATTGTGGTTTCAATAGCTAGATAATTCCCTTTGTGTTCAAGTCACTTCTCAAAATTTGTGCATGTAATATTCAGCTAAACGGAAATGAAAAGCACTTCACTCAGAAGTTTGTCAAGGAGTGCATTGACCAATTGTTGCCACAGCCCCCTTGTCCAAAGATAACAATTAGAAGTGATAGCCATGACATTTGAGAAAATGGGTTATAACCTAAAAGTTCATTTATGCTCAAATGGATAAAAAAATTCCTAGAAATCATAAGTGTAACTCTTTGTGCTAACCCTTTCTTGTAAAAAGGGTTGGTCATTCTTAACTTCAGTAGTCGCTTGTGTGTGCAGCTCACAGTCTCGAAAGATCTAATATAGTTGTAAAAACCTTCCTATTAAATAAGAAATTATTCTAAAAATTAGATATAAGAAGGTAGAGAATTTCTCAAGTACAAAAGCTATGAGACAAGGTTATTTGAATCAGAGCTACTACTTAAGCTCAGGCTTGTTGTTCAAGCCCGCCGCAACAACATCTTATGAAGAACAGTCGACAATCACTTGCTTAGAAACTGTCTCCTAACTCTCTATTCTCTTTACAACTTTTTTCTTATCTTGATCACACGTTTATTTGATTTTTGATCTTCTTCTCCTTGTTAATCATGCTTGCATCTAAAAAATATGCTTCGACACAATTTGCTGTTAAGAATGTTGGTTTCTTTCGTTGCAGGTGAATCATCTATTAAAGGTATGGGGGATTTGTGTGGCTATTATAGTAGAGAAAAAACAAGGAAATTATTTTTCAAAAAT